GCAAGCGATGTGAAAAAAATCCTCTCTCTTTTGAGGCTCAAACTGAATCCGACGAAACTGTGCCACAGTCACCTGAGCAGTAGGCATAGCGTACAGTAGACATATGAAAGCAATATTGTGCTGGGACTAAGTGTTAAATATTATAGCTGAGAGTTTAAGAGTTTAAAGTTTTATCTGAGGTCCACAGATATGACATTGGTAAACATCTAATTGAAGTTCAATAATGAATATTTTACCATGTACCTCAACAGACTCATAACTAAACAGGATGGCAGAATTACCATTACCATACAATTATTCATTGTATGATGGATGAAAACTTTTCAGTATCATTTAGATTTTTCTTTCCTTAGATTATTCACACACAGCAAAAATACATTATTGCTAAATCAGCCAATAAAATGAATATAAAGTACATTGTGTGAAATTCAGAGACCACATTATCTCTCTCTGATTAGATAATCCACATGCATAATGAAGCAGAAAGTCAAAGGAAAATAAGTAAAAAACAGGGGGTTCCAAAACAAGTTCAAAAACTGAAAAATGGGAACATGGGACTCCTGACAACTTTGCAAGACCTTCAGACCTTCACCATCAGAAAAACAGTACTTAAAGCTTTCATCTTTGAGAGAGAGGAGAAAATCAAGCTCCACTCTTGCTTCAGATCTGAAACAAATCCACAGGTGTTTCTGTCCTTTGCAGAAAATGTAACCAACTTCTAAGAGTGAACTATGGAGGTGTGGAAAAATACCTTGCACAAGAACACTGAAACTGGACGTCTGATATGTGCAGTTTTTATGGGCTGATGAGTCTGAATTTGTAACAGGAATTCTTTAATGGTGAGAAGCAGAAAATGCAACCAACTCCTAAGACTGAAAAGCAAGTCTCCCCAAAAGAATGGAAGCTGTAATAAAAGCAAATGGTGGACACACTACTGATAAATCTGCTATTATATTTAGTCCTTGAGGCTTCTGTGCAATTTTCTGTTAAATATATGTTTTCTGCAGTACTGCACATCTTTTTGAAATGGATGTGCATTAGTTGTTAAGAAACAGTCCATTGTTTCAGGCAACCGCAGCATTATTTGCAGAGTGGAGATATTTGATTTCATGTTCTGAAAGAAATGGTGCCAACAGAAAACATGTGCTCAGTGGGTAGTCTCGATCACAACTGAGAGACGTGTTGACAGGTTGAGGCTCTATTTGAATGTGAAGAAAGCAACAGTAACTTCATCAAACCCAAAAGGGATACATGTGTGTATAGATTCAGTTCTGCACAGGAATACTTGGCAGTAAGTCAATATCTTGTATGGAAGTGCTCGTAAGGCGCACCAGTCATCGATATTCCTAAATGAGCGCATATGGTATGCTGGCACTGCGAGTCTTTGATCAGGTGAAGCCTTTAATGGATTTTCCTCCGCCTAATACAAGGCTCCTCACTGCAGAGTGGCTTTACAGCAGGCAACCCAGAAGGTCATGTATACCTCCAGGTTCTAGAGTAAAGAGCAGGGAGGCACAGGATGGCTCATACAACCACCAAGACCTGTCAGAGAGCAGAGCCAGGAAGTCTGCAGAACACACACACACACACACACACACACAGACATCTATCCTACCAATCTATTCATTATTATCCTATTATAATAGAAATATTATATTAGATAATTAGCAGATCTGCATGTTCACTGAATTTGAACCCATTCATGTAAAAACTACCCGGTCATTCATGTTTTGTTGATTATCTAAGTGTAAATAAGTTAACCCACCCTTTATAAGGAAAAAAACATAAACACTTTTTCTGCTAAATTTAGTGCACAATTTCTGCTCATTTGTTGAGTTTAACATATTGGAAAAATAATAAAACATAACATATAAAATATGCCATAACTTTTGCACATGCCACAATTAATGTTGATTTTTTTCCCCAATATGTTACATTCAGTTAATAAACAGTAATTGTGCATTAACGTGCAGAATTGTGTTCCCTGTAGAGGATGTCAACTTATTTTCACTTAAAAAAATAAAAAAAAAAACATGTAATTTGACCAGGGGAGTCCAAACTTTTCAGTAGCCATTTGATTTTTTCATTACACTAACTTCCATACTTTTATTAACAAATCTAAAATTTTTCTACTATTTAACTAAACAAATCAGTAATCAACAAAAAACTAGATTTAAGTAACATAAGTGAAAATTCACTTTTTAGCAACATGGTTTAATGGATCTGAAAAAATGTCTTGTTCATACTGACCAAAGAAAATATAACATTTTACATGTGGACATTAATGTGTTAATAAGGATAATTAACATATGGGCAGTTATGCAGGACCGCAAAATGGAAAACGCTAATATTTTATCTCATAGTACATTTATCTTCACAGCCTTGGACGTTCAGTGTTTTTCACAGTTATGATTTTCCCTTCGAGTAGATAATCTGCCATCTGATAGGTTACAGTGTGATTCGGTGCAGATGACAGTCTGTCTCTGCAGAGGAGCACTCCTGGCTGAATGTGTCAGTGGTGTTATCATACCGTTATTCTTCTCCTGCTGAGCGGCCGCTACTGTATTTACACATAAGAGTAAACAGCTCTGAACAGGAGTAAACCAGGCCAGTGACAGAAAAAGTACTTTAAAGTTTAGTTTCTTGAAAAAACTAAGCTGATTTAATGTACTCTGGAATATGTATGACATTATCTGAACATAAATATATCATAACTGATCATAAACACACTGACAGTTATAAAAAGGCATTGGTTAATTACTTTGTGTTATTGGCTAAATGCTTCTTTTTTATCCACAATATCCAAACAGTCTATGAATTATTTTTCATACTAAGCTTGGGCCAGGACTTGCTTAAATATAACATATTAATATTTCCAGCAAAACATAATTAGAGCATCACTACCACATGGTATAATGCACTGCCAAAAGCAACAGTACGGGGTGCACACTTCTATTAATCTGTCTGAAAGACAGCAAAACAAAAGAGTAAAATGTCACTCCTCTGAGCTTTTTCATCTTAATGCTGAGGTTAATTTAGCTTGATCAGAACTATGGATGGCCTGCAAACAAAGGAGAAAGAGGAATAAAGGTGATGCAGTATATTCAGTTCTTCTTAGGGTTGTACAATTCCAATTTTCACTCTGTTGTACTGAGCATATGTGATAACCATAATGATAATATACATAACACAGATCAGCGTATACAAGACGCATACATAACAACAGAGGTTGAATAAAAAAAAATACAACCTCTTAAAGAAAAAAATATCATTTTGGCATTACTGTCAGACTCATTACTGTGACACAGAATAATTTTTTTCAATATCTTGATAATTCACAACATTCGTATGATATTTCATATGATTCTTTTTTTACTTGTTAAGCCTGCAGTAAATGTAGCAGGCTATAAATTGCAATCGCAGCTCAAACAGCCATGAGTCCGATTAAGTTCAGTTTGGTCTAGTTGAATATTCAAAAAAAGAGGATTATGTTACAGAAATGCAAACAGAGGCAGAGGCAGACTGGGTTACTGGGTTTTAAAGGACAGTCTAACCAACTGACCAACAAGCGCTGTCATGTTTATTAGCATTTACATTATGACCTACCGTTATAGAAAAACAAACTAATTTGTCATATGACCATTTACTATTATTATTATTATTAGTAGTAGTAGTAGTATTAATTACACATAATAATACACACAAAAATATATATAAATAATGGATAGTGAAAGTAACTGGAAAGTGCAGTACCGAGTGGCTCCTCTTTTGTTAGTTTTGAGCTGCTGATCACTGAGAGGAAGTGCAGGACTAGCCATCGGCTCCATGAGAACGATGTGATCATCACTAACGCAAACAAAGGCTTTCCTCAAAGACTAAGTGGTTGAATGCACAGGTTAGCTGCGCCAGGCCCTTAAACCGCTCTGACAGGGAGGAGGCAGAGAAAAGCTCTGCTAGAAAAGGAACAAGTGACCCGGAAAGATCAGGGAACATGTCTAGTACAGCCCTTGAGCAATGTTTCTCCAAACAGCAGCTTTTCCTTTGCCTCGGTATGATTTAAAAAAACACAGGTAAATGGTCTCAGTCAGTGAGTCTGCAACACACAAAGCCACAAATAACCCATTTAACCTACTTATCCATCTGCTGTTTTCTGTTATTATAATATAGAACACAGACCTGAGGGTTGAACAGAGTACCTTAGTTTTGTTTACTGATTTTGGTTTTATGTTAATAGTGCATGGTTCATTGCTTAGACAAGAGCTGATCCGAGCTAAACAGTCTTGAAATCTTGGTCAGATTTCCTGGAGAGTTGCCCATAATGCTGATCTTAAATCATATATGAAACCAAATATTTATTCATTCTCCTCAAAGCCCAGCAGTCTCTGTTTCATTGGTACATAACCAGCAGCATGACGCCTGTATTACTTTTCTGCTGTTTTAATGAAATGGGATAAAACTGTTTAAGAATCAATCACCTCTTGTTTAAAAGAAGAAAAAACAATATCTAAGCTAGCTATCACCACAGGGTTTTATTGTATTATAACAGAGCTTCATGTGTTTCAAAATACAGTCATAGCAAAAGTAAACACCCCCTGGTCAGATTCCATGTTCTGTTGGTTTTCTAATTGAAAATAAGTTAAATATCCTCTACAGAGAACACACTTCTGCACATTTTTATACACAATTGCTGCTTATTTGCTGGGTTTACCATACATACATACATACATCATCTAAATGGGTTTAACATATTAGAAAAAAATAATAAACATAAAATTAATTTTGTTTTCACTTTTGATATTTTTTATATCTCAAACTCAGCAAATAAATAGAAACTATGCTCTAAAATGTGCAGAAAATGCCATATTTCAGTGTGGTCCCTGTGGAGGATATGTCAACTTACTTTACTTGGAAAAATAAAAAACACCTAATCTGACCAGGGGTGTTCAAACTTTTACATATGACAGTATGTGCTTCATGTTTACAGCTGACAAAGTGGCACATGCGTGGAAGAGCCTTAAAAAATAAAAGAAAAAAGGAAAAAAAACAAAGAACGTCGGGGTATTTTAGGGGTATCCCTTATGTACATATTGCATAGGAAACAGCCATTATAAAAATGACTCAGACTATCACAGACTAAACGGTGTCGTTTCAGGCGATACATACTTTCCACAGCTGTGATCCCCAATGTTTTTATAATCGTCCTCCGACCCGGAACAGTCTGCAGAGAGTCACACGTCTCCATCGAAAACGCTGAAATACTTGCTGGCGTTTGAAAAGTACAGGTAAGGCGTCGTGCTTCCGTGGTACATGACCGGGACAGGCATCGGTAACAAGCATCCCCCCAGCACGGAGCCCCCGACACTGTCTTTGTACGGACTCTGCAGCTGCATCACCTTCGCCACCTCGGAGAGATGTTCAGCAGAGCACGGGCCCTCGAAGTCCGTGGAGAGCTGCCGTTTCAGTTTATTCCTGCGGTTCTGAAACCAGATCTTCACCTGCGTCTCTGTGAGCTGCAGGGAGCTGGCCAGACACGCCCGCTCCGCGCTGCTCAGGTAGCGCTTGATGTCGAAGGTGGACTCCAACTGGAAGATCTGCCTCTTGGAGAAAATAGTGCGCGTTTTCTTCTTGGTGAGCGGTCTGCTCTTCTTGTTGCTTTTAACATGAAGTTCATGGCTGTCGTCGTCCTCGCTTTTCGGACACTTGTCGCTCTCCCTCGGCTCGTCCTCTTCGTCCACAGCGAGGCTCAGAGAGTCCGCTTCAGCTTCGGCTCCGGCTCCTCTGGACGCTGTCGAGCAAAAAAAAACCTCCAATCATTACCAGCACGGACCACCTGAGAGGGACCCGCGACGCTGAACTTAGCTTCATGTTGACCACCTTTATATTCTTGTTCGAATTTTCCCGCTCCACCTTAAATGGTGCAGCAGTTACATTCTGGCGCCAGAATGTAACTGCTGCACCATTTAAGGTGGAACGGACAATTTGAAAAATAGGCTGGTGAACACGCTTATCCTGTAGCTGCTGCACCATTTAAGGTGGAACGGACAATTTAAAAAAGAAGCTGGTGAACACGCTTATCCTGTAGCTGCTGCACCATTTAAGGTGGAACGGACAATTTAAAAAAGAAGCTGGTGAACACAGTTATCCTGTCACCGCTGCACCATTTAAGGTGGAACGGGCAATTCGGAAAAAAAGATGCTGGCGAACACATTTAGCTTGTAGCTGCTGCACCATTTCAGGTGGAACGGCCAATTTTGAAATAAAAATAACTTCAGCTTCGAGAAGGGACCCCAGCTTTGTGGCCACCGTGTAGAAAAGTTAACTTTAAGCCTGTCTTCGTAACACCACTCACTCCTCCTGTGGCTGAGTTACCTGTTTGTCCGGAGACGGGCTGCGCAGTCAGCCGTGTCCGCTCTCCACACGGCGAGCAGCGGCTCTCCGCGTCCAGCCGCAGTTTACAGCGAACTCCGTCGAAGTCCCTGTTGAGGATGTTATCAATGGTGAACTTCAGCGACGCGGGCCGGTAGACCATGTCTTCTGTGCTCATACTTCACAGCTCTGCAGCTCTCGGCTGAATTTTCCTCACAGGCTGCGCAGCGCAGAGTAAAGGCGGGAGACCGCGGACCGCACGCGCACCATAATTGAGCTGTTAGCGAAGCTCGAGCTCGCAGACTCGCGCCGCCGACCGGAAGCGCAGGATTATGCAGCTTTTGATTGGCGCTGCTGGAGAAAGAGGCTGCAGGGCGGGAAATGCGCACTGTGTTAAAGGGCCAGAGACCCAGTGCATACAGAGTCCCACAGAATTAATGACCCCACTCTCATAATACAGACTAATGTTTATGCTATTTATCATTAAGAATTACTAAGAATTTCATTTTACAACAAAACTAACTTCTCTGTGTTTATGACTCGCATATGGCTGTCAAAAAAGTATCTACATGTTTTCAGTTTTGCTCTAAAATTGCTTGAAATAAAATCTCAGCACATTCAGTTACATTAAAAGTAAAGAACCGTTTGCCCTCACCTGTAAAACACCATTTTGGAGATTTTTTTTTCTGTTGTTTTTTTAGACAGAAACAATATACACTTTTACCCAGGAATTTAACATAATTAAACAGGAAGGGGTTAAATGTGAATACAAGTTGGAGTGGAAATTCTGATTTAACATGACAATGAGACCTCGTACCATTCACCAGCTCAAGTGTGAACAGAAGCCGATACGCTAACACAAAATACATGATTTCAGTTGGAGTTGGAGTTGGAGTTCTGTGACACTTTTGTTTGTACAGTTGAGTTTTTTAGTTAAGAGTGTAAAACGCCATCGGATGTATTTTGTACATGATTCTGGAGAGAAGCAGCAAAAATCCGCCCTGCTTGTGTGCATGACCGCTGTTGCACAAAGGTGATGCGGCATGGCCAGCAAGGCAAAACACTGACTTCTGATTTCACAGTCAAGTTGTCAGTTTTTGTGAGAGGTACAGTGGCGGCAGTGTATTTTGTACATGTTTGAGAAATGAAGGAGCTGCATTCATGCTGAGGACGTCATATGCTATTTCATGGCAAATATGAATGCATCCCTGTAAGATACTGCTAGAAGGCTGCGAGTGTCAATGATGCAAAGACCCAACACTACTAATGAAAGTGTTCCTTTAATGTTCTGATCTTTGAGTGTGAAAAAGACTTATGAAGAAAGAAAGCATGATGTTGAACTTATTTTATTTTCTGATTGTTTTTTATTTCACTTTTACCCAGGCATGAAAATAATCACAATAAGCAACCACAGGGTGGGAAGGAAACAAACATATAATAATATTCAGGTAAGGTTTTTTGAAAATAAAACAATGTATTTGGACAAATGTCAAGGAACATATGAACACTGAGTGATGCTACTGCTGACAGAGAAACGCACTACATGCTCTGTGTGGAAATCAAATATGTGAAATATTCCAAAAAGTATTTCATAAAACCTGTCACAATGTACAGAGACCACTGTGTCTGCATGCACATCCATCCACTAGATACTCCTCTAACTAAGCTCACCTAATGTCAGCTGGAAATACAGTTGTGGAGGAAATATGGTGTGTGGTTATTTGCAGCCATAATGCAAAGTGGCTTTCAAAACACTTCAAATATTAACGCTGCTTGTGGGAGAGCAGAAAATAGACTAGCTGCATAAAAACAATATGAGTGTCTAAAGATTATAGGCCAACCAAAATGAAGTGTAAATGTGTCTCAGAGTGGTGATACACCTTTTAGTTGTTGGGGATACTTTAGTTTGAGACTAGTTGCTGGAAATTACATAAGAAGTCTCTACTAGCTTGGGGGGTGGGGGGGGGGTGGGGGTCACCAATTGATAACTTTATGGTTTTCCAGTTATTTTGTTATAGCTGATTGTCAAACAACTGTTATTTTTTCCAGTGCAGATAGCCATTAGAGGCCACAATAACAAGAATTAATAGGTTTGTCAGTGTATCAGATATAGAAGCTCTTTCTCTCTCTTTGCAGAATCCTTTTGGTTGAACTGGTGTTAAAATGCTCAGTTGCATGTGGATTGTTATCATCTTCATAGGACAGACTCTGGAAATGGGCACTTACAACTTAAGATAGTTGTGGACCACTGTTTCTGCAAATTCTCCCACTGGTTTAGTTCTTTAGCAGTGCAGTTGTGCACAGCAAACAGATCAGGCTAACTTTTTTATTTCTACAAAACCCCATCACATCAGGGACCACAACCACTAACATGAAATGGCAATGGACCTCATTCACCAATATTTACCAAATAAGCAAACATTGGTGAATGTCAGAATCTCATTGAAAACTGCACAAGTGGGTTTTAAGAAGAACTTTCTTCTTATGCATGCTTGGTGAATGAGGCCCATTCATTCAGCACTATACCATTTTAACAACACAGTCCAAAGGGGGAACGCTCGATGTTTTTAAATAATATCCTTTTATGTTTTAATGTTTAGAAAATGTTAGAAATTTCTCTCTGAACAGTGGTGAGCAATGACAGTTGCTTTTTGTCACTTTGATCTAGTTATAAATGCTTTACAGCTATTACAAGATGAGCTATATTCTGGTTAAATCAGTCATTTCTTACAGCAGTCCATCCTATGCGGATGCAGATGATTTTAAACCTTCAAAAGCTTAAGAAATTCCATTCTGTGGACTCTTATAAGCAAGATCAGCAAGACACTGGAAACAACTCTCACTGAACAGTCAATGAGCCTGTTAAATTATTTATGTTGTTCATTTGTATCGCACATTTTGTAGTAGGCACATCAATCCTCATTTGTCCTGTGTGTTATGAACCACACATATTAAGCAATAACACCTCAACATCACAGTTGTATGTAAAATATAATGAAAGTTTCATATTCAATTTCACAAGTTAACATGAACTAAGCCATCTTTAGTTTGTTAGTTTCCCTTGAAATGCCTTTAATTGGGCCTTGTATAGCTGTAAAATCATAATCCTTACTGTAAAGTGTAATAGCTGCAGTTTGGTTCCAGGCTGTGTTGAAAATAATACATTTACACACCAAGTGATTTAATTTTTTTAATAATGAAAAAGAAACAAGCCATATGGGACAGATCAGAGCTGATCACTTAGTCTAAAAGACATAAAATTATTTCAATATTTCTATTTTTAAAGAAGCATTAAATTCTTTAATGCTTCTTTAAAAATTAAAGCTTAAATTTAACAAGTAGTTTTTTCTGCTTAATTTATTGACACATTTGATATTGTGCCACTCTTTGGACATAAGTTTAAAAGCTTTCATTGCATACAAAAATTTCACAGCACAGAAGAACAACAAATTGAAAAACATAAGAACTAGCAAAGCAGTATAATCAGAAGTGAACACAGTGAAGGCCTGCTGGTAGTCAAACACTACTGCACTACTGTATGTGCACACAACTATTTCCATCTTCAAGAAGGTAAAAGACTATTTAAACGGCTGTATCTGTGAGCAACAAGCGACACAATATTTATTGTCAATTTATCGTTGCGATATTCGAAGGTTGGGTGAGAGTGAGATAAGATGATAAGATGTTCGTAGATTGTTGAACAGCGGATTAATATTTCCTATCTGTTATTATAATATTAAATATGAATAATTATGCGAGTACTTTATTTTTTTGCAAGTAATTAATTTATTCGTTCTATTTTTTCTTCGTCTCTTCGTTTAAAAGAAAGATTGAGCGTCTTTAGGCCATAAACTCTACTGAGTCCCCAGTGATGATGCGATGTAGTAATACTAAGACAGTAATAACGGTTTAATAATAATAACTAACAATAAATCACTATTTCTCTCGAGAAGAAAAAACTAAAGATAACATCGGGCCTCCTTTTGCGCAGTTATCGGCCAGTACTATTAATTAAAGGAGTTTTAACGTGGCGCGTTGAGCTGTTTACCTGTTTGGAATCTTTCTAATGAGAAACTGCAGCATGGGTGCGATATTAGCACTTGCTGGAAAGCTACTGCACTAACCAAGAGATAGATACCAGAAACACCGTATAAACAACATACTGAAGTTACTGATGATATTTGCGTATCTAAAGGGTTTTTTTTCCAATTATTATTATTAAAAAGGTTGGTTGTGTAATAGAACTGTAAACAAACCACAGGCCATTACTGCGAAATGTCGCTCAAGCAATTTAAACGGTCACTGCAAGGCCCCTCTAAACACTGGGGTGGGACCTTCAAGGCTACGTCTTTAGTGCCTTTAGTCAGGGAACGTAATTGTACCATAATCCATTGAAATAATATATTTTTAAAGTTGTACTGACTGACCCTTGACTTCAGCCTTTTTACTTGATTCTGTTTGAAATATTAGGTTATGAAAAGGTACAAATACATACTTTTCCACTAGGAAAAGCAAATTTAAGGTTCACAATTGGATCTTAAAACCACTGTTGTACCTTTGAGGGTACGTTTACATTGTTTGCACCTTGACGAATAAAACAATTTACCTGCGCAGCACCTTTTTCTCTGACAGTGTTCTTAAGGAGCACAAAATAGGTAGGATTTAAACCCTTAACCAGCCTATTACTGTCTCACACTATCAAATGTATTTGAGGTAGTAAAATGCATTCTTATTTTCTTTTTTATTGATATAATTAATTGATTAATCAATCAGTTTTATTTTATTGTGCGCAGAATTTCTCCATACAAGCCTGAACCTAACCAGATCCCTCACTCTGCAGCTCCTCTGGGTCTTGTAGGCACTCAGGACGTTAGAGGTGAGTTTGAGCGCGCGCAGAGACACAGAATATTCTGCTACATTCTTAAAAAGATGGTTCTTCAAGGGTTCTTTAGTAAAGAAATGGTTCTATTGAGAACCATAGAACCATTTTCATGATTAAATGGTTCTTTGCATGGTGAAATAATTCTTCAAATTGATGGAGAATATGTTGTATATGGTTCTTTACAACACCTCGAAGGGTTATACTGTTACGATGTCAAGCATGTTTAATAAAAGAACCCTTTTTGTGCTACACAGAACCATTTTCAAAAAAGGTAACAACACATATACAACACATTCTCCATCATGCTGAAGAACCACCTCACCAAGCAAAGCACCATTTAAGCATAGTTCTATACAGAACTCACGGTCCTAAATAAAACAAATGCCTTTACTAAAGAACCCTTAAAGAACTATCAGAGTGTGAGCTATTTTGGTCAGGAGAGGAAAAACTGGCGGGGTTCTTTCTTAAAACTAGCGCTGCGGTAAAGGCCAGTGTTCTGAAGGTTTCAGGAGTAGTGGAGTGAAAGGTGGTCCTGCTGTAAGAGGTCCAGCGAAACTAATGCGATCTACTGCACAATATACAGATAGTTACAGTATTATATGAATGTTTGTGAAATAAATAAATAAATAAATACTACTACTACTACTACTACTGTTAAAAAAATAATAATAATAAAAAATAACAATAATAATAATAACAGTTTGTACAGTTGTGCAAATAAACGTTTAAGGCTTTTTAAAAATCAGATTTCACCATCAACGCCGACACTTACCAACTGCACTTCAGATACACAATACACAGCTGGTCATGCGTGTCATAAACTCAGAAAAGTCTCTCATTTTGTTCTTCCAGGTTTACTGTCCTCAGTCCGTACAGTGAAGTGTTATAGACGAAGAGAACCTTCATGTCACGCGTTGACCTCATTGTCAGACCGTCGCTTGTGTAACCTCCTTCATTTCCAGTTTCCACCGATTTTAAACATTACAAAATAAATATACAAATAAATAAAATAAGCGATAACAAAGCAAAATCCTACAAAAACTGCTGTGCGAACCCATTCACCTCTCCAAAAGCTCCCTTCGTTATGTCGACCATGAGCACAGATGCTCAGATACTGAACTGAAAGGTGTTTTTTAGCCTGCCAGACAGCGACCCCTACTGGCACTTTCTATTTTTACAACTTGATGTGACTAAAGGGGGTTAAACGCCACTACATGGAAGCATCGACCTCCACTGGGCATCCGAACACCGCAGCCAGTAAAACATCCAGCCATCCAAAAAGACCAGACACAAAATGAGAAGCAGTCTCAGCTCAACCTGCCAGACATAAACTCAGATAAAGAAGCTTGGTGTGTAGTGACCGAGGCCACAGAGGCTAAGAGTCAGTAGAGTGGGGAGAAGGACAGATGTGAGCTCAACTAAATGCAGCTGTAACTGAACCTCTAAAGCCTAAAAGAAGTGTACCTCAATGTGAATCATTACAGGTGCATGCAAATAGTTACTTTTCACCAGGGCCAGGTTAAGATCATTTGGAGCCCCTGGGCAGTGCAGTTGCAGTGAACTGACCCCACAAACTCATTGAGGCATGAGACCAAACACATCCCTAAAATATTGAGCCAAGAACTTAAAACACAAAGAAACAACTTGAGTGTTTGAAAAATATTCAATTTATAATAAGTAGCCCAGTCCACATTTTTAATCCTCCTGGAAGACGGAGGTCTTTACTCAGTTTAACCCAACAAAACAAGATAACTGTGATAGTAAATTAAAAAACTGTCCAGCATAAACAGGATAAGGGTCTCAGCCAATGCACAGCCTTTTTTGTTTTTTCGTCGTGCTCTGTGATATTGCAGGGACTCAAATCCATTTCAGAATGCTTCCTCAAGTCTGCTGCAGGCCTGTTCATTCTTCTACAAATAGGTTTACTGAACTACAGTTAGATTTGTTTATTTTTTATTTTTTTATTTATTAATTTAGAAGAAAACTTTTGGTGCACTCAACAAATCAGCTGCCCACTTTGCCCATATGGCAGATCTGGTCATGCTTTTGGCCATACAGTATCTTTCCAGCAGGACATAAAATTTATTGATGGACTTCACGCTTCAGAATAATGAGGATAAGCACACTGCTGTCCCTGCAAGGTCCCAGAGTAAGACACTTCTCTTGGTTCAAAAGGAAGACAAAAGAACAGCCAGTGTAAATCACAGACCTGATTGTAGAGAAGCATCAGTGGGTCGGTGTGAACCCACTGAGGCCTCCTGGGCTGGTGCTTGAAAGTGAGCAGAATGAACTGTTCATTTTGCTTAAGAAAGCCAGTGAGCATCTGAATACACAGTTTAGAGCAGGCGTGATTACTGTTTGCACAATATCAGATTATAGCCATGTTGATGTAAATGAAAGCTTTAGCAAAAGCATGGTTATGCCAATCATGCCTTCCTTCCATCGACCTGTGCAGAATGAACACATATTGTGCTTTGAAATTCACATCACCACTCTTTTTGCCTGCGCTGGTGCCTTCTCCCTGACTGTTCCTGACATCTGCTGTATCCCTGCCTACCTGTTACACCTGCTTGCGTAACCTGCTCCCAGACAGTCTCAGTGCCGGATCATTTCCCTTGTATATTGACCTCACCTAGCTCATCTTGTTCAAACAACAAAAGTTGTACTGAATGAATTGTATTATGCATTGATTGTTCAAACTTTCTCAGTGAATGTTACAACTGGTTCCTCGAGCAGTTACAGTTAACCCCAGTGTAAATGAATAATCTTGCTTAAATACTTGTTATGGAAAAACTACTGTTGTAGTCAAGACCACTAGAGGCAAGTCAGAGTCAAGATCATAACCAGATTAAGATTTTATCAGATTAAGAAAGGGTAATAAAACTTTTGTTTTTGTTTTTAGCTCATTGTAAATTCATTGTCATTCTTTAAACATGATATGTATAAATACATAATTTTATATTTAATACAAATATTTTTAGCTTAAAAAATATTGTTAATTATTATTATTTTATGGGCCAACTTTGCATTACATTGTTTGGAAGCAGATGATGGTGAGGTTTATTCTCTGTTCTCTAAAGCGTTCTGAATCACCACCTAAAGTCAGCTGAATATGAACCAAACAACGTACATCATGGGAAGATCAATTAGATCCTCACACAGCAGTGAGCAGACGTTATTAAAACATAGAGAAAGGAGAGTTTTCTTCTGTTTGATGGTTTTGATGTTCAACAATGAAAGAAAAAAGTTCAGTTTACTTCAGATGGAGGCATCGCACTCGGCTGGTCTCTAGAACGTTGTCCTAGCCCACCTTACCCCGAGACCGAGATAAGAACATGACTGTTAATGCATGGTCTGGATACTGGACTCAAATACTACAACACTACCACAAACTAAACTGTGTCAGGTTGTGTCCTGCTCCTTGCACAATGTGCTTCATGCTGCCTCTGGTGCTCAGCAGGAACGAAATAGATCCTTTTCTGTAAGTATAGAATCAGTGGTGGACGAAGTACACAAACCATGTACTTGAGTTAAAGTAGAGATACCCAAGGTAAAATATTACTCCAGTAAAAGTAGAAGTTCTCCCTTTAGACTTCCACCTGAGCAAAAGTACAAAAGTATTTGCCTTCAAATGTACTTAAGTATCAAGAGTAAAAGTACTAAAAGATTAATTATGGCTCTAATGTCTAATTTTTGTAACAAAACTCTTGCTTTATCAACTCATTTTAGGTGAAAATACTCTAGTGTCTTGGTAAACCAATCTTTTAATAGAATGTCATTAATTAGTCTGACACTGATGTCTATTAAAATTATCAAAAGTACAAAACACTGAAGGCAAACAGATTCCATCAGGTAGAACCAAGTGGCCATGAAATAACTTTTTGAAAACAAGCAAAAGTTTCAGTTTAAGATTTATTTGCAACTTAGTTACAAGTTTAAGTTTAATAAAAACTTGCTTTAAACACAGGTTCACAAATGAGTTTTCCTTTACTATATTGCATCAGTAGGTCTCTGTTCATAAATGTAAACTAGCCAAAACAAATTTACTATAAAATGAAATAATGTTTGTATAAATTCAGAAAAAAGACACATGCCAGTCTCAACGGCATATGTGTACACATTTCTATATTGTGGTCTATTTACACAAAGTTAGGTTAGTTCCATCGTTTATGTTGGAACAGACACTCCCAAAATTTTACGCTGCTGCACAACCGTATGCTGGCACTGGGTTGGTATGTCCAACAGGTCAAAACAAGCTCAAAACTAAGTGTGCGCTGCGCCCTGATTGGTGTTCTTGCTTTGCACTTCTTTCATTTTGACATGTTCTGTTTTTATACACACATAAGCCAAAAGGAACAACAGATTTTGTGTAATGTAGTGGTATAAAAAGTAAGATATTTGACTTTGAAATGGAGTGGAGTGAAAGTGAAAAGTCATCAAGAAAATACTTCAGTAAAGTACAGATACACAAAAAAACTACTTAAGTACAGTAACGAATTACATTTACTTTGTTACTGTCCACCACTGTATAGAATAATAATAGCTATGATAGCTCTGAATGTAAGAATTATTTAACACTAATATCTAACATTAGACTTTACACCCCAAAAATACACTAAACAACAACGTGAATAAATGTACATGATTTATTGTAAGAAATCAGTTATTCTTTTTCAGCTTGAATAACAAGGGCTTCAAGTGGTTAAACAAAGATTGGATCATAACACACTCTCAGCTGCTGATTTACAAGCTGCATACCTAAAACTACAGAAAGGAAATGAAACAACTAAATCTTACTTATTTCTAAAAGGAATAATGCTTACTACACTAGCTATAAGAGGCCTAACGTATTCAAGCTGTTATGAAGTGCAAAAGTGTATACTATGAAGTACTTTGCTCTGTGTTTAAAGTGTTTAAAGAATGACCAAAAACCTCAAACTAAACCTTTGGAATCCCGTCAGTTTTGCATTTAGCTAAATTCCATTTGATGTAAATTTTCTGTTACTGAGAGCTATACAGGGCTGATCAAACACATATCTACAGACAAAAATCTCAAATTATCACATTTCACATGTCAAGATAAAATGTCCAGACATGCTCAAATAAACGTTGAGAGCTCAGTTTTGCTGTTTTGAAATCATTTTCCTTCCTTCATGTGAACACTCCAAACAATATCTTGATCACCAAATTTGCTTTTCATTTTTTTCTCCAGCTGCAACACAAGAAAATGAACAGAATAAAGGAAATTTAAATAAATAAAAATAAGCAATAATACTAAAATCACTAAATGGCTCTATGTAGCACCAAAAGGGGTTTTCTGTTGTTAGAATGTCAAGCTGTAACAATAGAATAACAATTTTTTGGGGCATTTTAAAAGGTTCTATATAGAATTATATACATCTACACATTCTTCATCAATCTGAAGAACGATTTCATCATAAAGAACTCATGAAGAACAATCTTTTATAAGAGTGCTCTACTGTTCTATATTCAACATTTATTATATTGCCTGTTGTTACTGTCAAGTAAAACCCTTGCATCTCAATTTTTCTTTTCTATTTTTTGCATGACTTAAAAACTGCAGTTACCTTTTGACATGTTAAAGGTTCATAACGAAAGGAAATGGATCAAAACGACTTAGAAATAATCTTGTTAGATTCACTTTGTTAAGAATGCTTGTCCTTCTCCTATAAAGTTTCAATTTTAAAGATAAAAGGTTTTGTTCCAACAGCAACAACATATTGTAAACAAAGCACAACTCAAACACAATTCAAATTGTGGACAAAATTTATAAAATATCATAATGTCATTATCGGAGCTGTAAACACATACAACATGAATAAGCAGAGTAATCAAAGAAGCTAAAATGTAATGTTGAGCTTTCTGCTGAACTCCTGCTTTTTTCAAGCTACTTACCTCTTTGTGGAACAGAGTCTTAGTACTACTTTGCTTGCAGTAAAGGCTGGTAGCAGAAGAGCACTGCATCATGAGGGTTAAATTTTTATAAATGGGGTCTGGACAGAAGAAAGAGAAGGGCAGTAGTTAAATGTGTGCAACAGAAATTGGTTTATTTCTGAATCCAGACCGCTAATGAGGTTCCTGAATTCAGCAACTTGCACGGTGTCAAAGAGTGACTGTTCTGAAATATCGGACTTGTATGGGTATAAAAAAGATATAAATTGGATACGACTTTTCACACCTCATGTTTTAACAACTGTGGGTAAATACCTACTAATTAGTATGTAAATATGTAGTAATTACAGGTAAGTTCTTTTAAAGGGACCACGTCATGGAAAACTGAATTTCCCTCACTTTTTTGATGAAGAAGACTTTGATGTAGTATATAAACATTGCTGTAGTTTCAAAGCATACTGTTCATTCCCCAGTCCATACAGTCCAAATATGGAAACTAAGCTGTTAAAAACTGTTTTGAATTCATGGTCTCTGTCATGTCAGGCAAACCAACACAGATCCACCTATTTGACGGTCTGTTTGATGATACATACATCATAAGTCATCATCATCAAACATCATGGGGAAAAAATGAAGTAGAAGAAAAATGTGGGGCCTTCACGTACTTAAATGAAAACTACCAAGTATGTTCAGCAGTACTTAGTGCTACAAGTCATAATTACAAAGGCAATTCTAACTAATATTTGGTGCATATTTTGCAAGTTGAAGATGTAAGTATAGAATTACTACTAAGAAAAATATCAGGATATCAGGTGTACCTTAGCACTTAATGATGAATAATGGTAATAACAGTAATATGGTATTAACAGAGTAGATACAAAAATAGGTGTAAGTCTACATGCAAACAATGCAACATGCAAAAACCATAGAGTACCTGCAGTAATTAATACCATATTAACTTGTGTGATTACTGGTAAGGTCTCTGTAACACTGCGATAACTGGACTGTAAAATAAAGTTCAACACCTGTGTTCCATACATAAGTTCAGACCAGGTATGGGTTAAGCAACAACTGTATGTTAAATGAATGTTTATATTGTAGTGAATATTGAAATATTGTTGAATGAGGAAAAATACAAATAACATAAAAAGGTCTAACACAGAAAAGAAACTGTATTTGTAAGCTTTAGACTTCAGGTGTGACCCATTTTGGATTTGATGGTTTCAAAAGGGGTTATGATTAGTAAGTGGGTTTGTGTACAAAAATTCAACCGAACCCAAAAATACTTCATGTGGTAAGAAGCAATATAACTGGGTTTATACTTTGATGAAGAAAAGCAATGTTTTACAGGAATTTAATTCTCAAAAATACTGTCCTGTTCCACTTTGTACAGTTGTAAGAATATTTTTACAAATAGTTCAGTGTTGAAAGTCAAGACCCACTGAAATCATGGTGATGAGCACCGTTCATCTAGGTTAGCAACAATTAAGGAGAGCAGGACTCAATAGTGGACTCAATGGGATAAATTCTCATTTGTCATAATTATTAAGTGCATAGAGAGAAAAGCTAAACTACAACAACAGACATTAAAATGTAAACTTTAGATGTACTTCAGAAGTAAAAATGCTTTCCTAAGTATAATTTCCTTACCTGTTTTACAGTCTGTAGAGTCCGGAAGACTCGTCAAATCGCCAGCATAGACACTGACCCTAAAGTTGTACTTTGTCCCAGAGTTTAACCCTGAAATGTTTTTAGTGTTAACTGATTGGTTAGTTACAGTTTCATTCCATATTTTAGAGTCGCCCCAAAAATAGGATATGTACGTCACATTGTATACCATGCTCTGGGCCACATCAGCATCTTTCGGGGCCTTCCACTTCAGCTGTATAGTACTATCGCTCAGGGCCACAGCGCTTATAATAGCAGGGCGCTCAGGTCCTAGGAACATAAAAAAGAAAATAACAGATGAGTCAAATTTTAAATTATCTGCAACAGTGATTCTCAGTCCTGGTCCCGGAATGCTGGCGCTACACTGCAGAATTGAGTATTTTCCCTGCTCTGACACACAGAGGGCTTGTTAATTACAAACCTAATTCCAAAAAAGGTGGGACAGTGTGTGAAATCAAACAGTTAACATTAAAATCCAAATAAAAACAGACATAGTGATTTGTAAATCCACTTTGACCTGTATTTAAACAAAAGCAGCACAAAGACAAGATATTTAATGTTTTATCTTATCAACTTCATTGTTTTCTGTAAATCTAAGTGTATTTGCGCTAAGCAAAATTGATGCCTGGGACACATTCCAAAAAAGCTGGGGCTGGGGCAATTTAAGACTGGGAACATTATTTAATGTTTAAAAAGATTGTAAAAGAGCTGATGTTTGGGTATTAAAGGGGAATCCAGGAAAGGTCTAGTCCATTATGAGCAAAGATGGGTCAAGGCTTGCTACTTTGCAGAAATTGCATCAGCAAAAAATCCAAGAGTTTAAAAACCTTTTTTAACTGAACATTTGCAAGTATTTGATGTTTTTCACCCTTCACAGTGCATAATATTATTGAAATATGCAATCCTGGAATCCAGAAAAATCTAGAAAAATCTCTGCGATGCCAAAAACTGCAAGACACCGCATTAAAAACTAATGTTTCTGTGATGGATGTAACTACATGGGCTCTGAAATACTTTGACAAACCATGTGGACAAATTATTAGCATTATTGTTATTTTCTGCTTTTATTCTTGTTATTGCTATTACAAATGATAGTAATAATAGTTTTGGTTAGTCACCTACTATCAACCATATTTTTCAGTTTGTTAAAAGTTTGTGCTTAATTTTACTCACTCTTCTACCAAGCAGGAGTTTGACCATACAAATGCGCCAAATTGTGAAGTTTTGCATGCACTCATTTTATGATCAGATTTGACTGTACACAACTTTGATAAATAAGGGCCATTGTCTTTTTTCAGGGCATCCATGCTTGTTTCAACATGACAACACCAAGTAACATTCTGCACGTGTCACAACAGCATGTTGGTGTAATCAGAGAGTACGGGTGCTAGACTGTCCTGTCTGTCTCCTAGTGAAAATATGTGGCACATTATGAAATGCAAAATACCACAACAAAGGCCCCATATGGGTGCGCACCCGAAGACTTGTATAACTAAAGAAAGGCAAAATTTCTGCTTTCAAAACTGAATCAGTTTGGGTCTTCAGTCCCTGGATTATTAACGTTTTTGGAATGTATCTCATTTGGAATGAGCACATATTTACAGAAACTATACAGATCATAAGATAAAATATCAAATATCATGTTTTTATAATGTTTTCAATTTTATACAGGTGAATAACAGTAACCATTGCTTTCTGTTTTCATTGGTCTTTCACATACTGCCCCAATTTCTAGAAGAGCTGAAGTGTGTGAGCAGGAAAAACGTTAAATTGTACCATACGGTTTGATGATATTCTGGCTCTTAACACATCAACTAAACCTGGTGATGAACTGCTGAATCACGTATGTTTAAGTAGAAAAATCACTAAACTGTGACTCAGGCCCTCCAGGACTGGCTGCTGTAAAAATAATGTAAAATGATTAACACACACACATATGTATATTCTGTGTCAGAAGACACTCTTTGAAGGGGAATTCACATATAGCATGTACCTTATTCAACATTAGCTAGCAATGAGTAACATACTGAGCTGTGGCTATAAATGTTGTATAGTTATATTTTTGGCACAAGCTTTTCAGAAACATGTGGTCACTCAGGAAAAGTGACATTTTTGTTTTGCAGGGGGAGTGTGAACATAACGGATTTAAGAAGGAAAAACACTCACGGGTATAAATGAATGCATCAGCTGCTTTGCTTGGATGCTCGTCTATCTCCACGTGTGTGATGACACTAACTTTATACAGTGTTGTTGATCTCAAATTAGTGAAATTGTAGTACAGGTCAGTTGTACTGTCATTATTTATTGAGGTGGCTAAAGAGTTTAAATAGAGCGTCACACTAAATCTGAAGAAACTTCCATTCGGATGGTTCCAAGTAGCATAAATGCTTTGTTCTGTGCTGGTTAGAGTAAGACCATCCACAGTCTGTGGTGCTACATGTGGAGACAAAGAAAAGGGATGATGCATTAAAATATGTGCGGACAAATCCTGGCATGACGACCAGCTCTTGGCTACATTCACATTACCAAGTTGAAGTACAGAGATATCTGTAAAAACTGATCAGGCACATCTCACATGTGCCCATGTGCCCATGTGACCTTGATGAGAAAGGTTAGCGGTGAATTTTGATCAATTTAAGCATACAGTGAACAAAATAAAGAAGGATGTGAAAAAATCAATTCTGTGAAAGTTTCCTGTAGGACCTAATTGTATGATGGCCCGGAGAGTCAAAACTCAACAGCATTTAGCAAGCGAAGAAAAGATGAGAACACAAAAACATTAAGGGAGAACGCAGGCAGAGCATGAAAACATTACAGGACACACAACATTTTTACCGTACAGCTGTTAGCCTGCTAGCTAAGCTAATAAACCTTTGTGAATTTGGACCACAAATCCAAACTAAACTTGAGACAGAAGAGAGAAACTCTGAAAAATTTGGGCAGGAGTTCTGGGTTTTGCTGTGGTTGAGCCTTTTTGAATGTACTGTATATTTTGCACAATTTCACACTTTTGTTTATCTGTACCCTATGTAGCCCTGTGTAATGTGCTACTGCTGTGTGTTGCACTATGGGCCTGAAGAACAGCATTTCATTCCAATGTATACAAGTTATATTGAGAAATTACAACAAAGTGTAAGGTGTTGTGAGGCAAAACAGTACCTTAAGAAATCTTATCTTTCAGATATATCACACACACACACACACACACATCATCTAAACCGCTTATCCTTCTGGGTCACGGTGGGGTGCTGGAGCCTATCCCAGCTGTCACTGGGCGGAAGGCAGGATACACCCTGGACAGGTCGCCAGTCCATCGCAGGGCAGGCACCTAGGGGCAATTTAGCAAGTCCAATTGGCCTGACTCCCTGTTTTTTTGGACTGTGGGAGGAAACCGAAGTACCCGGAGGAAACCCACGCAGACATGGGGAGAACATGCAAACTCCACACACAAATGACCCTGGTCACCCGGCCAGGAATCGAACCCAGGCCATTCTTGCTGTGAGGCGACAGCGCTACCCACTGAATAATAAATAAAATGGCTGTATTTGTGTTGTTGACATTGTGACCCCTGGTTCCTATCACCACCACTATAAAGAAGTCTGAGTTGGTAAAGTTTCTCTAGAATGAAGCATTTCACAGCATTTCACCACTCTAAATGACTTTGTTTACATCTCAAAGATTGAATTGTGCAGAAATTAAAAACAAACAAACAAACAAAAACCCAGTGGAATTCCCCTTTACGGTTTGCAATGTGAACATAGTCCTACAGTCAATAACAGTTTTTAGATTTGAGTAATTCATTAGTGCATGTGGTGTCTGACAGAAGGACCTGTAGTGAAAGCCTATAACATTTGATACAAAGGTTGTATTGAAAATGTGATTTGTAAGAGAAGGCCTGAGAGAATGATATAGTAAAAAGAAAAAGAAAGGGGGAAGACTGTGACTCACTGGTGTAGGCATCGATGGTACGTGCTTCTCCATTAACTGTGCCATTCACTTGGGCTAACACTGTCAGGCTGTATTTAGTACCTGCCATGAGGAGCTGTGGTATTTTCATTTTTGAGGAAACTGAGCAGCCATTATATACTGTTATGTTGCTCTCTTTTAAAACAACATAATAGCGATAATCTGATGCCGTGGGATCAGAGGAATTCCATGAGGCAAATATCCAGGTACTCTCATTATTTTCAGAACGAAGATTCTCTACCCGAGAAGGCTCTGGAAAAACAACAATGGACAGGTCAGTGACATGGTTAAATGCCATCATGCTTTAATACTGACAAAAATATTTATGATGTTTCTATAACTGATAACTGATGCTGATATTTATTATATAATATAAAATATTATATATTATTATGATGCTGAGATTTTCAAACATGGATGATCCTAAATAATATTAAAACAACTCCATCTCTGACGACCTCACCTTCAGTGCTTTTTTAAGACATTCTTACTCTGTAGAAACAGAACGTTAGCTAAATAATGCATCATCATATCCTGAACCAAGACTGACATAACAATATTACCAACACTGTCATTCTTAATGCATTCTCAGGGAATCTCAAGTTTGAGCCAAAGAAAATGTTCCCTGTGCTAATAAAATCACCATGGATAGGCAAGTTTTCTTTTTCAGGATAAGTGCAGAATGCTACTTTGAGTTTGAAGACTTTACTCACTGGTGTAGACACTAATCCTGCCTGGTTCTCCAAAAATGGTTTTGTTGACCACAGCACAAACTGCAAAACTGTATAATTGTCCTGGAATTAGACCAGTAATGTTGTATTGCTCAGTTGTACTTAAACTGCCTTTTTCAGTACAGAGTGTTTTGTTGTCTCCTTTCAGCCAATTTACTGAATAACTGTCACGTCCTCCAATTGGAGCACTCCAGTTGAGGAGAACTGTATTACTGTCCACACTCACTATGCTCACATTGGTGATGTCCATTGGCACTAGAAGAAAGAGAATGAAAGTGACCTTTAGGCTGCAATCTGATCATAAGCACACAACGGTCAGAAGAATGAAATGCATGATACAAACATTAAGGTACACTTTGTACTCCTCAAAAGGTTTGATGTCAATGTGAAGATATTTCATGTTAAGGGATTTTGAATAGTTTCTATTGGTCCAATGTTCCTGATATTTTTCACATAATGTAAACTGCAACTGTTGTGCTCAAAATTTTGAAAAAAAAATTGTAAAAATGAAGATATATATGTATCTCCAATGGACATTCTTGTGCCCAGGCACCTGACCTGAGGAGCAGCCAATGTGAAACAAGAGGAGGGTTGCCAAAGAAGGTAAAGAAATCATACAACTAAAATGCACTGTATGGCCAAAAGTATGTGGACATGTGACCATGACACTTATATGAGCTTGTTGGACATCCCATTTGGAAAACAATGGGCCTGAATATGAATTTGGCCTCCTTTTGTGACTATAACAGCCTCCACTCCTCTGGCAAGGCTTTTCACAAGACTTTGGAGTGTGTCTGTGGGAATCTGTACCCATTCAGTCCAAAGAGCACTTGTGAGGTCAGACAATGATGTTGGACAAGAAGGCCTGGCTCACAGTTCTGATTCATCCCAGAGGTGTTCAGTGGGGTTGAGGTTAGGACTCTGTGCAGACCACTGGAAATGCTTAGGAGATTATTTGAGCCCTTGCAGCAAAAAACAGTGTGTATATATTTCTTACAAAAATCATATAAACATAGCATGGCATTGTTTGATGCTGTGTATTTAAAACACAGAACATACTTTGGCTTTTTTATGTAATCCGAAAAAGGGTGTAATGGTTAATCTATGCTTTTTTGTAATTTAAATTTTATCTTATTAAAACCAAAAATAAGCATCCAGTCAGCAGCAATACACACATTAGTCAGTTCAAAAAGTTCTAGCGTTAGTAGCTAGCCTCTAAGAGAGAGAGAGAGAGAGAGAGAGAGAGAGAGAGAGAGAGAGAGAGAGAGAAAGAAAGGGAAAGGGATAGGGATATATATATACACACACAAAAAAAATGCCCATTTCAGCATCATAATCTCCACATGTCCTGTTACGCACTTTTAATCCCACAGCAGGAATTCATTTTACCAAGCTGAAGTAAAACTATGTGTCTATTTACATTACAAAATCTAACATGCAAAGTTTGTATTTAATGAAAAGAAATAATGAACCAGTCCTTCCTCAGAAGGATATTTAATCTCAGAGAAATTGTTCAATAGAGAATTTGCTATAAAGGGAACACTTTCCTTCACTGAGCAAACAGATTTGGAAATGCTGAACTGATCTTCAGTAGAATACTTCTTATATCCTAGCTCAATAAAACAGTAGCATTTGCATTTATCTTTACTCACAAGTAGAGAAGGAGATGTTCTGAGGGTTGAGGTCTCTGTCACACTTCACAGGGATCACCTTGATATTATACTGGGTTCCTGGCACCAGGTCTTGGAGCGTTATGTTCAGACCTGTCACCGTCATGATTTCGGTATTCGGTGGGTTCACTCTGTTCTGCTCTACTCTGTAGTGTTTGATATTCCCTGGTGCCTGGCTCCAGCTCAGAAAACCTCCATCATGCGTCACATTGGAGATACTCACCTCCCCAAAAAATCGATCTGCAGAGAAATGTGTGCACCAAATAAACGAGACAAGGCTGGCTTGAGACAAACTGGCTTAAGAAAAACAGAATTTCAAAAAACACCACCACAGAAACAAATTACATTAAGCTAAATTACTTGGAATTTTTGGAAATTAAGAAGTTCACCACCTCTGCACGGAATAACTTAAATATGACATGTTTCTGCAAATTAGAATGCACAATTATTATTTATTCACTGAATATAACATATTGGAAAAGAAAAAAAACATAAAATGTGGCATGTGCACCCTTTCAGTCAGTATTCAGTAAAACCCCCTTTGGCTGAAATCACAGAATCCAAATGTTTGTTGTAGCCAGCTAACAGCCTTTCTATTTGTGATTTTTCCTTGCAGAACGCTTCTAGTTCAGAAACAGTCATAGGTCGTCTTGCACACACATCATGTTTAAAAGGTACCCACAGATTTTCAATAATCTCCAAGCCATTTTAAAACTTTAATCTTTCATTTCTTGAAGTAGGTCATGGTTGATTTTAATGTATGTTTTGGATCATTGTCTTCTTGTAATATCTGACCTCTTCAGTTTTATCACTCACTGTGGGACATTAGTTTCCAGAATGTGTTATTTTATTACCATTCTTTTTTTACCCTATCCCTACCACATGTCCTGTGCTACTGGCTAGCCCACAACACTAAAATATAATAGATCCACACTCATGGTTACAGTTGGAAAGATGTCATTTTATTGAAGTGCTTCTCATTTTTTTCTCTAAACATACATTTGGTGATCGTAGCCAAGTAGTTAAATTCTTGTTTCATTAGACCACAGCACTTTTTTCTGAAATGCCTCTGGTTTATATTGATGTTCTTCTGCATTCTTCAGATTTTATTTACAAATTTAATTTTGAGAAGAACTCAAAAATGAGCCAGTACATGACTAGAAAACACAGCACACAAAATCTTAATATTTTACATAAAAACACAAAAAACTTGCTTAATGGCAGAAAAATGTGTTTTAGGGCCTGAGGCACACCTCGGGGCCGAAGTGGGCTACCCTCTCAGGGTTGGCTGAGGGGATCAACCCCATAAATTGTATTTATTTATAAATTATTTATAAATGAAACTCATTTATTTATTATTTACAAATTAAACTCATGATAAATCTTTTAACATCACTTTAAAATAAATCAAAAAGATCTTTTAAAGACATCAATGAAAAAAAAAATGAATGTATTATTTTCAAAAATTTGGGGTTGGGGTTTAGGACAGGCTCCTTCCAATAAAAATTCCCCATAAATTATGATATATTGTATATTTTTAGCCTAATTGCTATTTCAATTAATCCCTTGCATTTAAATAGATCATAATATATTGCTTTTAAATATCTATGGTCTGAATCAGGGGTGCACAACTCTGGTACTGGAGGGCTGATGTACTGCACAGTGATATACCTGCTCAAACATGCCTGATTGCACTATTAATTGCCAGATGGGTGTGTTTGAGCAGGGACACTAAACTGCACTGGACACCGGCCCTCCAGGACCAGAGTTGCGCACCTCTGGTCTGAATACTTAATCATTTATTTATTTATTTATTTATTTATTTATTTATTCATATCTTTATTTTTACTGTGGGACCGCAGTTTGAACTAATTGGGCATAAAGATGTCAAAAGCATAAGCAAGTGATGATGTAATAAGCTTGCATTGGCTTAGGTCTCTAAACAATAACTGACAACAGCAGGTGGCAGTATAGAACCAAAACTTCCCACTGCTTTAGGCAGCATATACTCAAAAAACACCTACATCCATTTTCCTGTCTCAGAAAACAAAGCCAATATAAACTAATAAAATAGCTCTACTTATAAACACATTGAAGCCGTCTACACTCATACAGTCCACACAGGGTGATACTGTGCGAATCAGACTCATGATAGAACTTTCCCCAATGTTCCTGCTGTCATTTGTAGGATATTACAAGACCGTAAGGCAGGATCATTTGTGCAAGGCCAAATCAACACAAGTCCATTCTAGCAGAAACTGAAATCTGTAGCTCATCACCTACTGATACTAGCTTTCTGTAACTTTCCCCGCCTGTCTCTGAGGACGAGCAGCTCACATTTATTTTGTATTCCAGCTCCCAACACAGCACACAAGATCCAGTGAACTGAGGGCTAAAAAACGTGGATTATCTGCTTAGAAGCTGTATGATGTCCTGTTATGTGAAATCACTGTAAATGTAGTCAATTTATTGAATACACAGTGCCTTGCAAAAGTATGCAACCCCCTTAAATCATCAAATTCTTATGCATTTCAAAAGGCGCTACACAGATTGTTTTAATTGGATACCTCTGTGCTCTTTAAGTATATTTTCAAAGTCAAATATCATTTGTCAACAGATCTTTAAAAAAATAAAAACTGAAAAATGTTGAGACTCTCTTCAGACTAGTACTCAGTAGAACCACTTTTTGCTGCTGCAACAGCTTTAAGTTTGTT